TTACGCACTATGTGAAGTAAATTATTCAAAATTTTCTATAACCAAGAACGTGAGTTCCCGAAGTTTTAGTATGTTGCGTTTAATTATGTCAATAATCAGTGATTATTGGACTTTTCCAAACATGGACACAGATGACGTTTGGAATTTTTTGTAAGTAAAGTACTTTTATGAACGGTCAGCTATTAGGACTTCTGACCTTCCTCCCAGGGCTAGCAAAAATAAAATGAAGAGATTAAATATTATTTTACAAAATTACAAAAAGTGAATGCACTTAACCTAAATTATAACTTTGAGTTGTGGACTTTCTTACCAAGTAATCAGACAGACATTTATGTGAGTTTACAAAAACCCAGCAGCACACACACTTGCAACAAAATGTAAGCAAAGGATACCTCTGGCTCTGCTACTGACAACATTATTTATTTAACTAAGAAAGCTGCATGGTATTGAAACTAAATAAGATGACTGATTATCTGTTGAAATTGCAATATTTCTTACTGTAATTACATTGTTTCCGTCTTACACATTTCTTTAAAAAGTCTTATTGAAGAAGTATTTAAGTAGTAAAACTATTAAGGGGAAAAACAATTCACAGGTACTTCCTGTTGCTCAAATAATACACATAAACCACTGAGTGATCATGTTTTAGAAGCCTACTAAATATCAAGTCGGTGTGTTAGAGTGGGAATAACCCCATCACCTACCTTCATTTTCAGACGATGGGCAGGCCACCTGTACCACCAGATCAAAGGTTCTCTCTGGATTCTCCCTAAAAAGAGCGAGACAGTGTTTTACTGCGCTGTCTGTGAAAAGTCACAGACAGACCACAAGACCACAAGACTGCATTCAGACGAACATGGAACCCACGCAGACACCCTGCTCCCTTGTCCTACTTTAAGGGAGCCACACTCCCCCTGGCAGCCCTGGCCGTGTTGGCAGCGGCTCGGTTTGTGTGTGAGAAGCAGAAGTTCTCCTAACTTCAGTTTTACTGAATGAACTCAGGTGGCAGAACCCCAGGGGCCCCGTGTCCACTTTTCCCCTCCGGACGGTCGAGTGTCGGGAGCGGCTATCCGGTGGTCAGCTAGGAGGCAGCAACAGATTGATCCCAAAGGTCTGTCAAGCCAGCTGGCCCCGCTGTTAAATCCACCGCTCGGGAGGGCTCGAATTACGCCAAAACATTCCTCCGCATTTGCACATGCAGCGCCAACTTAAGGCTACGTGTCTGTGCCACCCGTTAGCCGTTAGCTTTGCGGGTTTACACACAGAGGGGCCAACGCAAATACAATTAAAAAAAAACTCGGGGTCTTACTTTATCCTGCTGTCCATGGTTTAGTTACAACATCGCGACAGGTCGGTGCTGTCGGCGGCTCTGGCTCTGCTCTGAGGTCTGCCCGAGAATTCTTTTTTTTTTTTTTTTTTTCTTCCTCCACCTCGTCCTTTCCCCAGCCCTGGCAGTCAGGTCTGCCGTCCTATCTGATGCCGGTCGAAAGCCGCCGCGACCGCATGCCCGGAGGTAGGAGAGCGTAGTAGTTTGCGCTGGATTTCCTGCCGTTTGAAGCGGCCCTAATTCCCCCCCAGGTCGGCAGCGCCGCGCGACTATTTCCCACAACAAACCCCACTCCAGGAAGTGCTGTCAAAGATTTGGTGACGTCAGCGCGTCCGACGGGCACCTTGCCGCTGCTCGCTTCAGCTGCCGAGCGGCGCGCGCCGCGGGCTTCCGGGGGGGGGGGGGGTGTCCGGCGGTGCCTGTCCGGAAAGGTGCTCCCCGGGGGGTCAGCTGTGGTCTTTAGCAGTCCCCAAAGAGCGTTTGTAGTCTGAAATGTAATTGAGCCGCACTTCATACTACTTCCTGATTGCAAATGAGAGAGTGGGGGGGGTACATTATTTTCTTATCACTATATTTATCAGACAGAAATAGTTGCTCAGATACTTTATATCTAAAGGAAACATATATATCTGTACCATATACACTCTTTTTATATTGTCTTTTGTACTCTTCATAAGCTAATGGAACCAGAATTTCCCTGAAGGAGTAATGCCAAGGGATAAATAAAGTTGAGTCAAAGTTTAAGTCCCAAATTTTGAAGTTAGCCAGATTTTTAAGGGGAATAAAGATTGTGACTGTATCAGTTCAACTATTTTTGTTTAAGGAATTCTAAATCCAAACAAAGGTTAATTGACCCATCTCTAAATGATATTTATTATTCAGATGTTCAGATGGTGATATTGGCATGTTTTGTTTTTATTTTCTTTTAAGGTCTCCTGCGAGTACTTTTATTGAACTATTAGTGTAGCTCCTCTGTCAAACAGGTGAGTGTAATATTAAGAGACCGCGTAAACTGAAATAAGTGCGAGTAAAACCAAAGAGGATGCGCGTTGTCAGGGTGCGTTCATAGGACTTCCAGAACAATGACAGCTTCTTTACTCCCCCCCCAAAATAAGAAAATCCCTTCAAAACCAAGACATCAAGGTATTTAAAACCCAACTCTGATGACAAGGTAACTTATCATCAGAGTCGGGCCCTTGAATAATAATCCCAATAGGGTATTTGAATAATGTGAGGAATTGGCCAGTTTTGCAGCCCTGTCTTCTCATTTTTCTTCATTACGTCAGGACCCATGTTGCCTCACGTTGACATCATGTTGCGCACTCTAAAATTGGCAGCAGCTTTAAAAATAGATGTCACCATAAACTGACCCACATAAAACCGGGGACTCTTGATGTCAGAACGGCAGAAAATCGGTTCTCTCAGGATGCAGCCAGCACACCGCATGCACACAGAGACCCCACCGTGCTCCACAGAGACGGTCCACAGAGGGCAGCTGCTGGGATTAGGGTCAAACGGATGATTTATGATGATAGCTAGTAAGTCAGTCTGAAATCAGCTTTTCTGTAATGTGCTCCAATATCTTAATTCGCCTCAAGCCCTGCTAAAAAAAAAATTAAAAATGGTGGATATCTTTGAGTGGTGAACAAGTTTAGTGGTTAATAGAGAAAAAAAAAAAAAAAAGAGGTTCACAGATCGTTCTAAATGGTGAAAAACACTGCACAGTGTGTGCCCCTCCCTTTTTACCACCTCTTAGCTGTTCTTAGGCAAAGACCTTTACCCTCAAAGGCAAAATCGCTCAGTGGGAAACACGTCCAACGCAGAAGAAGGGTGGTGAAAGCCGGCGTGTTTGCTCGACTTCTCACTGCACGACTGCAGTGTGTCGTGAGTGTGTGTAACCCATTCAGTGACCATTTTAAGCATTAGCAAAAACTACATCTGTACCCACACTGTACATTCCCAGTAACATGTGCGGTGCGACTCTTTATCAAATACATATGGCGTGACCTAGCCCAGTCACATGTTCCAAAACTGACAGCATTTTTCCCTTCAGGGACAAACCTGGACGTCATTTGTCTCTGCGTACCTGTTGACTTTAGCTATCAGCGTCCGGCACGGGTTTGTTGGAGCTTGACATCAGCGTTCTGTTTGCGTTGACTCTCATGCTAAAGCAATATTTGTCCCTTTTGTAAATTGAAACCAATGGCTTACTCCTCTCTCCTCTCTGGAGAGTCTTTCTGGATCGGAGCCAGATTTCTCCAGGCTCACTGGAAGGTAATTAAGTGGCAGCAGAGTGGGGCATGCTGTTTCAGGCATCCATATGAAATTGTAATGGCAGGGCTGTTTTCTTGACACGGGGGCAAGGAAACAATACGACACGCACACGCACGCGAGGAGACACATAAAGCTTTTATGAATTGTGGGAGCTGCGAACCACAAAGATTTCACATTTCGACCATAAACCACGGGGCCCAGGTATTATTCATTTAGGTGGAGAAGATAAACTGAGAAAAGGACAAAAGCGTATCCATCACAGGAAACAAAAAAAAAGAAAACAGAGGCTGCTTTCAAACATGTTGCCTACCTGAGGCACAAACGGTTTGTCTTGCTAAAGTGAGACGCCATTTAAAAGAGAATAAACCACAATGGCTTTTGTTGAGAAAATGCATCTGAGAGCAAATGCAGCCTGAGGCAGAGTCAGCGCAAACTCTTGCAGCGCCTCGGCAGCCTTTTGCAGTGCAAATCTGTAAATGGTCTGTTATCTTTCATTAATCGTGTTGTTTTTTTTGCAACATAAGAAGACAATGTGGGCTGAACGACTTCCCCACACAGGATGGTTAAGATGGTTGCCTCATCATCTGCCTCTTCGTTTGTTTTTCGAGCCGAGTACTGTTTTTCCTCACGAGTGATGTGTAATTTATCTGAGGGTGAATCGACCCCACAATGTCAGTCAAAAGACACTTGTCAGGTTTCATTACTCATAATTCCAGAGCGGACGCGTCATCAACAGTGGCTCCGAGCGCCCGATAACCTTGAGTTTACTCATTAATGTCCACTCATCAACCTTGCAGGGCCTCGGTTTAAGTCACCGGATTACTTTGATGTTACAAGGAGAGCATGCTTCTGTGTTCTCAGACGGGGGAAAATCTAACCTGCCCGCAGCACAGAGGGGAAGGGTGGACGCTAAAGGTCCCGTCTGTCAGCAGTTTTTGAAAAAGTAACTCCAGTGCTCCAGCTTCAGGCCACCATTTGCACACAAGGGGGGGGGGGCTTCTTTAAGATAACGTTGCTCTGTCTTTTTATTAATACGATTTCAACATTCTGAGCATCTTACAAAGTGCCCAGACAAAGACGTGTTACGGCCAACTCTCAGAGTGGAACATGAAGGCAGCGTTGACCAAAAAGTAAAGCTGTTTGTGTAATGTCTTTGAAGAAAGAAAAAAAATTATCTGAAACTTCACAGTACACATCATATATTTGATTTTTTTTTTGTGCAGTTCATTAATAATGAAAAGAAACGACAATAACTGATCTAGGTTGAATTGTATGAATTTTTCTGCCTCTGTCAGCAGAAGGCCTGCCCCCTCCTCCCACCGGTGGGTTAATAGTAGCAGCTTGGAAACAGCAGAGGCGCTGTGTGACGGGTTGAGTCAGAGTTATGAGACGGTCACATGTCACCGGTGTGGAGGGGGGGGTGCAGACGAGGAAGCAAAGCAAAACACTGGAGAAGGACGCTCACAAGTGAACATGGCAGTCTTCAAGTGATCGGGGGGCGTTTATTTAAAGTCTAAATTAGATGTTTATTGGTCAAACAGCAACACGTTTCATAAGAACTGCCAAGAGCAAAGCATTTATCCGAAGGCCGGTTCTCCTCATCCACGGCCAGTCCAGTAAACGATCCGTGACCATGTCCGAGCCGAAGCCCTCCTCGGACGGGAGGAGGCAGCAGATGGATGAGAGGGGTGGACACGCAGTGACCAGCGGCCACGCGGGGACCGAGCTCCCGGAAGAAGAGCTGCTCATCCACAGAGTCCACGCACAGGCGTGCGAGGTAGGCTCCCAGTGACGTCACCCAACGCGTGGGACCAGGGCACGCTCACAGGAATCAGGAGTTTGGGTTTTTTAATAAAACTGCAGTCAAAGACATCCCAGAATTCCTCTGATGATTAGGGTTTTCTAATATTGCTGTATAACACACGACTGGTTAAGTTAACTTTAAATCCTTCCATACCTATTTGGTTTGGTTTGTGTTATCTTTCTGTTTTTTATTTCATAGTTTGTGTTGTAATTGTTGTGATATTTTGTGACTAAAGCTTTCGTCTTCAATCTTTGCAGCGGACCAAAAGTGTGATGAAGAGCGTTTATTCCGTCAGCACTACAGCAGAGCTCCTGAGAGCAGGGTCTATTAGAGAGTTTAAGCCACATTCAAAGAATAGTAATACGTTATCCCTCCATCTTTTTGCCATTTCACTTATTCCTAGTAGGGTCGCGAGGGGGCTGGAGCCAATCCCAGCCGTCGTTGGGCAAGAGGTCAGAGTACGGCCTGGACAGGTCACCAGTCCATCACAGGGCCACAGAGACAAATATATATGAATATATGATAGTATACTATTATAGTAATGGAGAAAAGTGTCTAAAACAAAGGTAAATACACCTTTCAAAATTGAAGGCCCCTAGTTTTACCCATTAGGGTCCAAAACCTGTCACATGTGTAGTAACCTCACAGGTGTTGTATGTTTGTGATACGTTTATTTACCACTTGGGAACATATGTGTACCTTTCACGGCTTCTAAAGATACAAATATGAGCCATATAGGGTACATAAATCATAAATCAAGTAACTCAGGACGCATAAATGTACTCCTATTATGTCCGTTTTTTAGGTCTTAGCAGGCCACATGATCTGCAGTGTTAAATTATTTCTAAAGAAAATAAGCTTGTCTTGCATATGTACCAAACAGGCATTTATTTATTTTTTTTAGTCTTTTTCTAAGTGTTCTGTAGGTTTAATTACGTTAAATAGGGTCCCTTTACTGAACACTGCACCCAGCAACTTTGGGGCAGACTTTCTGGGAAGTCCAATCGTATGAAATTGGAAACTAGATGTTTCGGTCCGTTTTGTTTTCAGGAAAAATGAGGAACTCCAGTTTCGATTTGAAACACTTAGATCTAGAAGTGAGCTCAGAACCCTCTCCAGATTGATACCCAGAAACAACTTCCCCTGTAAGATCATCGCTCGGCATCACGTGAAAACCCTCTGCGTTCATAAGGGTGCCGGACGCATGCTGGCGAGTGTGTTTGTTTTAACACAGTCATTAAAGCAAACACATGCTAACGCGGTTGGCCGATGTCCATGCCGTGCCGTGCCGTGCCAGGTAATTTCTTTTGTCACATCGGGTGGACTCACCCGCTCCGGCGCGCCTGTGCATGGAGCAGAGCCGGTGAGCTGTCTGCCGGGGAGAGTGGTGGAGAGGTGTCGCCTGCATGCCTTGAGGCCTATCTGCTGTAAATATTGTGCTCCTGAGTGGAGGATGAAGTTGAGGCAAGTTGGCCGCGACCTGAGCAGAGCGGCAGGGCCGGGGCGGGAGAGACGCGCGGCACAGAGGGGGCACGGCCGTGCCAGGCTCACCGCGCGGCTTTGCAATGCCATGTGAAATGACAGGCCGTGTCAGGAAAAGGCCCGGGGCCTTTCTTCCCCTTTGTAGGCTGTCAAAGCTCCCCAACAGAGCTGACATTTTCCAACTCCCTAAAGGACGGCCGAGGAGTTCAGTGTTTTTCACCTACAGAAAGGTGTTTCTGCAAGCCTGCAAAACGGAAGATTGATCAGATAGAAATAAATCCGGCTCCAAAGGAAAGATGTTTACTCCAGACGTTGTGCAGCCACTTGACCATTCGGCGCCAATCCTGACCCGCTAAAGTGCACACAAAAGGGACCGGCCAAATTAATTAGCAACATCAGGAGAATTAGACTGTTTTACACGGTCTCCTATGCGGAGTTCACCCGTTTCTTCTTTACCTTGACCCAACGCAATCTGTTGCTGTGTGCGTGTTTGTAATCGGGCTTATGGCGGCCTACCGTTGACATTTAGGCGGGTAAATGTTCTGTACGTGCTTATGCGTGCAGAGGCAGCACACCAGCAGGTTTGTTTGTTTGTCATACTAATGAAATAATATCTCTCTTGCGTTCAGGCAAAGCAGCAGATGTACGTTGACCCTTCCAGCGGGTATAAGGTGTTCACGGAGTATGCCCACCTTCAGAGAGGCAAATGCTGCGGCACTGCGTGCAGACATGTGAGCACTTTGTCTTTTTTCTTTTTTTTTTACCAGCTTGCGTCCTTTCTGTGGCTGCATTTGCTTGCACGTTTTCTCCCTCTCATCACACCTCAGGTGTTTTTGCCTCACCATTAATGGTTCTGTTGCATTTCTGCTTGTTCATCATTGCAGTTGTTATCTTTTTAATTCCATCTGCTTGTTAATCTCATTTATAAACTGCATTTTGAAGGTTTTTTTCTGCATGAAAAAACTTTGCACTAACACCAGTTTAGGTGCGTGGCGGTTTGGTTTGTGCAATCCTCCATGTGTTGCAAAGGATAGTACATTTATCTAATGATAAATAAAATGATATATGTAAGAGAAGTATGATTGTTTGGCAAAGTTCAGTCTAAGATTCCAACGTTTTCCATTCTTTATAAACTTAGGTTTAAATAATGAACAATTTAGTTATTTTTTTATTTACCAAATATATCCAATTAGATTTTTTTTTAAATCAATCTTAAAATACACGTTCTCTGGCTTCATTCAGGAATGCTCATATCCAAACTTTTAGATAAGTTTACTTTTACCTCTTTAGTGTTGGCAGCCCTTGTTTTGAGCCGCTTAAATGTGATTAGACAGTTGACTCAAAAACTTTTCCAGGGACAGATGTGGGCTCTTCCTCTCTAATTGCATCATCAGTTAAAAAGTTTGAAGTTAAGTGCAGTTGCATTTTAAATTTCTCATCGTGTGAACACACAGCCCAGACTCACCAAAAATTAAAGGAAACTGAGGATATTTGAAGTAGTTTCTCCATCCACACTGAAAAAGTTGAGAGAAGCTTTTTTTTTTTTTAAGTGGCAGTTTTTTTATATATATATTTATTTATTTATTTTGTGACAGGTAGCATTGTGTGACTGACTGGTTCTTCTGCAATTAAAACAACCCGTCCTCGAATGCATGCAAATCCTTTGTAGAACTTCCAGGACCATTAGGTTCAATTAGAAAACCAGCACTGGTGAGCGAGGCGGCACAAAACGGCCTCAGCATCTGTGGGAAACGGCAGTGATGGGGGGACGATTCAGGGAGCCATTTCATGCTAAAATAAAACACTGTTCCAACATTTACCAAAAGTGAGAAGAACTTCCCAGCAGGTAGCCCGACCAGTATCCTAGCCCACACAGAGGAAGAGACTTCACAAGAACAAATCCAAAGAGTACGGGTGCCAAACATTAACAAAAGCCCTCCGAATAGAAATATATGCACTAGTTCTTTTTCAGATCGGGTAGGAATCTAAAATACCGACACACATGGTCAGACCATGATCCAAAACCTACCGTGACAGTGATCCACTTAGAACATCAGGAAAAAAATAGAATATTCTGCAACAGATGGGTCAGTTAACTCAGTTTAACACAACTGAGCTGCATTTTACATTTTTGAAGACAAAACTAGATCTAGAAAAGATCCACAAGCACCAGCCTAATAAACTCCAGCCCTTAAGGGCTGCTGGCCAACAGGTTTTTGAGTTCCCCTGCCTGAACACAACTGGACAGGATTACAAATTACATAATTTCTCCATTTTAAGGAATAGCCTGAAATATAATGGCTGAATGTTTGGAAGGATACATCATCATTAATTTTGGTTTACAAACTGATCAAAGTTTGACTTAAAAAAAAAAAATCAAAGTATTTGATCAAATCCACAAAAAAAACATTCTTTTCAAGCTTTCACCCTCATTTCCACGTTTTTTTTTCATTTAATATTTATTCTGTGACTTGTTGATAAGAACTGATCGGCATTTTGACTTTCAGCCGTTTTCCTCCTTGCGTTGTTCATTTTTGGTCACATTTCACCCAGCGTGGTTCTGGCCTGTTCTGTCCCGCTCCGGCTCATGGTCTGTCTGTCCTGATCTCGTCCCGCCTTTGCTCGCCCCGTCCGCTCCTGCGCTGCACCTCTCAGTCCTGATTTGACTCTCATCCGGCCTTATCTGCTCAGCTTTGCTCGCCCCATTACCCGCCGCCCGCTTCATCCTCAGCATGAGTAAAGAGCTGCTGTGTAAGTGCTTAAAAGGCGTTTTTTTTCCCCTCTCGTCTCCTCCTCCAGTGTCCGTACGGCCAGATCAACGTGAAAGACGCTGCCAAGAAGAAGCGCTTCAACTCTCTGTTTTATGTATAGACTGAGCAGACAGAGGTAAAAAAGAAGAAGAAAGATGCCTTTTTGGAATGGACTCCAACACACATGTCATTATTTTGACTACTTGAGAGTCAAATTTTAGCTGCGTAATAAATGATGAAATATGGGTAGTGTCTGTGCAATACCTAATTCTTAAGCATCACAACTATTCTTAGCATTGTTTTCACAGTCACAGAACTGGGAATGTGGAGATAGGATTTGTTCACTAAACCCTCATGTAACATAGTCTTTTACTACACTTTTGTTTGTTTTTTTTAACATACTTTTTCTCCAACGTCCAATGAAACGCCTGGAGCTTCATTTTTCATGTCTCTTCAAGAGTGTTAAATATTTCGTGGTGTTCGGGGGCTCCTCAGATGCATTTACCAGGGTTGTGGGAGTATGGAGATGAAAACTGAGAGTGCATTTTAGATCTTCGCCCTGCAGATAAAGGGCACATGAGCGAAAGCAACCGCAGATATTCACACGGAGTCTTCTGCTCTTTTGCTTTGCATGTCTTCTTCTTTTTTTTTTCTCTCTCTCCCAAATGGACAGGGCTGCATGAATATTAGCATCGTTTACGCTCCACAAGTGCTGGACTCAACTGTCTACCTTTGACTGATCCAGTGCGCCGGTTAAAAATAGAAGAGGGCAGAAGGGGTCAGCTGCTTTTTTTTTTTTTTACACCACTTGATCGAATCAGGCTGTTAGCAAACATGCCACGGACATCAACAGCAGCACCCCCCCAAACACACACACGCACACACACACACACACACCCTCCCCTAGGCTGCTCTCCTGAGCCACAGTCCTAATGAACTCCCGGGGCCTTCCAGTCCCAGGACGGCGGCGGGGGATCGGCCTGCGTTCACCGAGAACGCGCACACGCACAAAAAAAAAAAACACAATAAAAGGCGAGCCCTGTTGCTCCTAACGGGCCAATGCGGAAGAAAAGGTTTGCGCCTAACGCCGCTCACCTGTGCGCGCAGGGAGAGCCTGATTGGCCCTCCGGGCAGCTCCCTCTGAAGCTGCCACACGCACGCACACACACACACACACGCACGCCCTTCTCCGCCTGATTGGGCGAAAAAAAAAAAAACGGGCGTCGCCATGAGAGGATGCGTCTCCTCCTGTCGCAACACCGCCCGCCGGCGGGTGGCCCCCAAAAGGCAAAGCGCACAAGGAGATCCGTGATCCCAACAGTGCTGGGGAGGACAGGTTTTTTTTTTCCGGGAACGCCTCGTCAGAAAAAGGGGGGGATGAAAGGCGAATGCATTTTGGGTGTTGTTGGAGCGCGAGGCAGCGGAGCGTGCGGCAGCAAACGGAGAAGGTGTCACACTCATCACGTACCTGGTTGGGCCCCTGTCTCCGCCCGCCCGCCCGCCGCTGGCTGCGCGCGGATTCCGCCCCGGGACTTGTCTGTCACATTAAAGGAGACGCGTTGCCATTCAGGGCCCTCCGCGGTCCCGCAGCCTGACCACGAAATAGGCCAACTCTCATGTCTGCCTCATCTTCTCGCGTCTTCCTAATCCAGCGATGGCACAGTTTGATTTTTTTTTTTTTTTTTTTACCCCCCCACCACCCCAACCCATCATATTCTAACTTAGCAGTTGGTAACTGAGACACAGACAGCAAGAATTCACATTTACACGTTTCATTCACTCTTATCCTTAAGTGATTGTGGCCTATACTGCTCACAGCGAGTGTCCATTGTCCATTAAGTTGATCTGAGGAAAGGTTATTTTTCTGGAGATTGTTTATCTAAATCAATGTTTATGTCGTTTATATTTATGTTTATGCATTTAGCAGACACTTTTATCCAAAGTGACCTAAAAAGTAAGTAATGAAAGCTATACTAACACTCACCTTGGTGTTATTAGCTTACTCATTTCTGTAGTATATTGCACCCTATTGAATTGGCTCATATGTTAAGACATCTTATAAGCTGAATGAGAAAACTATTTCTAGTCTCGTGGCATTTTCTTAAGTTGTATCAGCAGGACCGGACACAGAGCCGTGCTTCAGCCAGACACGCAGAGTGTTTATTCCAGGCCTTTTTTCTGGACTGGACATCTCCGAGCCCTCGGCCGGAGCATATGCTGCGCTGGAAGGCCGATCGGCAGCCACTTTCCGTAGGACGGTGGCACCAGCCGTGGAGGGGGAAAAAAAGCCAGAGAGAGCTGTCCAGTTTGGATCGGCGACCAGACGAGCTCCAAGTCATCACCGGCTGACAGCCCCCCCCCCCCCCCCGGCCAAAAAGCCCCGACCGCCAGTCAGCTCCAGCGTCTCCGTCACCGTGAGGCCAGGGCGGCCAGGAACTGACACCGGCTTGACGGGGAGAGAAAAAAAACAAACTTGAGTGTCAGCCGTATGATAGCTGAAGGGAACATCAGTCTCAGCAATTGGCCGGGCACTTCTTGGTGAGTTTGTGTGTGTGTGTGTGTGTGTGTGCGTGTGAGGGGGGTCTGGCGTGCGCGCGGGCCTTGATATTCAAGCAGTATTTGAGCAGCCCCTACATCAACGTCTGGTCCTTCTACACAGACAATGTCAGCTCGCCTCGGGGCAGCAGCCTTCCACAGTGGTCATATGGACAACCACTTCCCTGTGGTAGAATTAGTGATAAAAAAACACACACACTCGCACACACACATGGCTGCTGAGTGACAGTCAGAGCTCCAGATTCCTTTGGACAGACGCGGCTGCAAATAGCACAACGAGGGGGCAGCTTCTCCCTCAGACCGCAACTGGTGGTCAGGCTCATGCCAGGCCCCAGCCGCGGCTGCCAGATGAGCCCAGATAAAAGTCAGGGCCGGTCAAAGGGGGCCTGAGTGCCCGAGGAGGGCTCTCGGCCTGTTCAGCCCCCCCTCCAGTTCTGCACCGGGACGCCGGCAACGTGTGATTTCTCCTCTTCAGCTAGCAGACAGTGTCGTTGCTTTCTTTAGCTCCTGCGACACCTAACCGCCCCCCCCTTTCTTAATATTGCCTCCACTTCTTTCTTTCTTCGACGGCCGCGGCAGATGGAAAGGGGGGCCCTGTTTGACAAACGTCGCATTTTCTAAGCGTCGGCTAAAGCGCGTCTTACACCGGCCGCCTTGTCCTGTACGGTCCCCATTATGATGGAGAACATCCATCTATCATGTTTCCGTGTCCTTTCTAGTGTGGCCAGATATGGACTAATACACGCGAAGCTCCCCCAGGAGGATACTTGGTCCTCAGAGGAGTCGGTGGAGAGCGCGCGTGCGTGCGTGTGCGCG